ATGAAGTAGCAATAAAAATAATTTTATGGCTGTGTGTCACCACAACATGAGGAACTGTATTAAGGGGTCGCAGGATTAGGAAGGTTGAGAATCACTGATATAGAGGACAAAATGGTGGGGAAGGTCTATAGCAATAGCCCATCTAGGCCACTACTGCTCTAGAATGACAGGAATGAACAACAGTAGGAGTGGAGTTCAGACTGACAAATGATAGCGATGTACTCCATAATTGATGAAAAACACAACATTGTGTAAATGAGTTTTTTGGGCTGGGTGGGGATTGGCTCCATAACATCATCATGTCCAGGGTTCACAGCGACCTAGCTTATACTATTCAATTTCTAAACAATACAGAAGAAAACAAGAATAACCACCAAAAAGAGATCTGAAGTTTCTCAAGCTACGCCTCCAAATTGGGAAGAACCAAGGCCAGATGCTGAGAAATTTATAAGTTGACTTTTCCCAGAAGTTGTAACTCCAAAAAGTCATTTTTTCCAAAAGAGGTGAGGACATGCTTTGAATGACCAGCACTTGCTCAGAAACACTTTCTTTTGCCGGGTGAATCCAGCACCACATTTGCGACAGGAAGGCTTAAACGTACATCTCTAGCACTTAATTCGAAAGCCAAGAGTTTAAGGGAAGGGCAGGCTTTGACAAGACCGGCCGAAAGAGGAAGGCTCTTGTCTTTTCTGGAAGTTCATAAGAGACCTCCAGCTGCCCCTCTTCTCCCCTTCCCCCTTCCCCTGAAATGTGGAGCTGGAGGAACATCAGAGCAAGTGTGACAAGACAAGCTTGAAAGAAGAGGGACACGTCCCAAGGCTGCCTCCAGGGCGGGGGCCAAAAAGAGATTAGAGATGCTAAATGTGTAATCAGTTAAAGCATGCAAAGGCTTTGAAGATTCAAAGGGGAATCGGTGTGGAGGGTGTCGCGTGAGCCCTGGCTGGAGGCAAGAGAAACACAGGAGACCCTTTTAGATCTTATGTTTGGGAGAGGAGGGACTGGAGGAGGATCAAAGAGTTCAAAGGCACACTTAGAGGCGACCATGCCAAGACAGTCAAGTGCAGGCAAAACACAACAGGGGCAGAAGGAGGTGGATAAGGCAGATAGGAACCTACCCATCTTCCTCCTTGACCTCTAGAAAGCTCAACAGTGTCCCCTCCGGACCCCAGGCTGGAAGGAGTTGGATCCCAGGTCTCCCCACACTTTCAAAAGAACCTATTTGTATAACAAGGCCAGCCTAGGGGCAAGGATAGCATACTAACAAGACAGACAAATGTGCTGTTGAACCTGTGGTCTGTAACTCCAGAATGAAAGCCTGGTGAGCTAAGGCAGAAAAATGATCTAGTTCAATGGTTCTCAACCTTCCTAATGTGGTGACCCCGTAATACAGTTCCTCATGTTGTGGTGATGCCCAACCATAATATTATTTTCATTGCTACTTCATAACTGTAATTTTGCTACTGTTATGAATTGTAATGTAAATATCTGATATGCAGGATGTATTTTCATTCACCGGACCAAATTTGGCACAAATACCCAATACGCCCAAATTTGAATACTGGTGTGGTTGGGGGCAGATTGATTTTGTCATTTGGGAGTTGTAGTTGCTGGATTTTATAGTTATCCTATAATCAAAAAGCCACCTTTGCTGGCTTGTGCCTGACTCATTGCAGTTCGATCTTTAACTCCTCATATTGTGTCCGCTTTTCCAGTTGTTTCTTTTCAATTCTTATTATTAATATTATTATTTCTGCTGCTCCAGAAGCTAAGACATGGAGCAATGGATTCAGATTACATGAAGAGAGAGATTCCACCTAAAGATTAGGAAGAACTTGTTGGTAAGAGTTGTTCGACAGTAAAATATGCTGCCTCATGGTATGGTGGAGCATCCTTCTGAGGAGCTTTTAAAAATGGTGACTGGATGGCCATCTGTCAGGAGTTGTTCTGTTGCGCACTGGGCCTGTAAAGAATTTCCTTTAGAACAGGACGTGCAACCTTTGCCCAGCGGGAAGCCAGGGTGCCCAAAGAGAAGTTCTCAGAGGTTTTCCACCACAAATAGTCTTTAGATGGGTTGTGAAGTATAACAAAGTCTTTTATTAATGAACAATCAAACAGAAACTTATCTTGTCTTCAAAAAGTTAAACAAATGAATTCAGGCTTTTATGCAACTGGTAGCTTCTTAAACTTGCCCACGAAGGACAGGCAACTGTCTTCAATAACTTCTTCTTTACTTTAAAGGAAAGTCCCCTTTTTAACTTCTCCCAGGCTGACTGTAATCTAACCCTTACTGATGTGGGCTCTGCTACCGGGTCGAACTGCTTCTCGAACGCCGAGTGGACCTACCAGTAAAGGCTTCGATGTTCTCCAGCTGGAGTTCTTTGGTCTTTAGGGCTGTTTTCCTGCAAAGTCTTTGGAGACTCTTTAGACTGTTCTCCCCCGGAAATTCTTGAGGGTTGAAGCTTTTGTACAGGGGAAGCTTGCACACGTCCTGTACATTAGCTTTCCTTGCTGAGACTAACTAAAAAATGGCTCCCTTCCCTTCCCAATTGCCCTGAGCAAGGGGCAGGACCAAAACTTAACGATGATGGACAGGTGACTTGCCCTATGACTGCAACCAAAGGAAGCCACCTATCTGCAGAATCCCAGGAACCTTGGACTGCAAGCAAACATTTAATACAAAGCAAATAAATTTGGAGCTCCTGGTACAGCCGTACCAGCACAGGAGTGCTTTGTGTATTTCTGCATGGTGGTGGGTTGGACTGGATGTCCCTTCTGGTTTCTTCCAACTCTATTATTTCTTTATTTACAATATTTATATACTGCTTTTCCGACCCCTGGGGGAGACTCAAAGCAGTTTACACAAAAATAATGGCAAAATTCAATGCCTTACATACCTAAACCAAAACTCAAATATAAACCAAAACTCTATGAGTCCATATGATTCTATACATTTCCATACTTGGAAGTTATCCTCGTGAACACAATGGGATTTTCTCCTTCTTAAAGATCTCAGGAAGACTGCTTTGTAAGAGTGAGTTTCTAGCAAAACAACTAGGTGATTCCAGCTTTTTATCAATCACAAGTTCACCGTAAGTAATTTGTGACATTATTTGTAAAAAGGAATTATAAACAGGTATAGATCCAAACCTTTCACTCCTCCCATAAATAGTTAGCTATTGTATAGTTACATTTTAAAAACAATTCTTTATAGGATTTCAAAGTATCTATATAGGTACTTGAAGAAAATCTGAATAAGCCAGGCATGGGCAAACTTGGGCCCTCCCGATGTTTTGGACTTCAACTCCCACAATTCCTAACAGCCTCGGGCCCTTTCCTTTTCCCCCTCAGCCGCTTAAGCGGCTGAGGGGGAAAAGGAAGGGGCCTGAGGCTGTTAGGAATTGTGGGAGTTGAAGTCCAAAACACCTGGAGAGCCCAAGTTTGCCCGTGCCTGCTCTAAGCTGATTGCTTGTGCACGAAAACATCAACCTCAATATCCACATGAGAATTCAAGGCAGGATCCAGCACAAACTATGCTACAGTCACATAACTATGCAAGCATAAAAGTAAGAGTCATACTATGAAAGGAATTATGATATCCTTCTTTCTGCAATTTTACTGTAATTTTGTTATGTCTTAGTTACTGGGAAAATAATTTCAAATAACTGGTTATTTGTAATGAGTTACTTCCAAACTGGCTATAGCAAAGCTGTTTCCAGCTCAGTACCTAATGTGAACATATCAGTGCAGTATTATTCAGACACTTTTGTTGTTGGGTTGCTGTGAGTTTCCTAGGCTGTATGCCATGTTCCAGAAGCATTCTCTCCTGACATTTCGCCCACATCTATGACAGGCATCCTCTGGAGATAATGTTTCTGGAACATGGCCACACAGCCTGGAAAACTTACAGTGACCCAGTGATTCCGACCATGAAAGCCTTCGACAACACTTTTGTTGTTGTTTTAAAAACATTGGTCGAGTTTGAGTCAGTTTGGTGTCTATAATTGCTTATTGCATTGTGTAGTGGAAGCAGAATCTATAGATTGGAATGTGAAAATCTGTCAATCTCATTCTCTCTGTCTTTCTCAGCATCCCACTGGCATTCTTGCTCTGCCTCACTTCTGTATCAGGTTACGAGACCGAGACTTTGCTTCCCATAGACATTCATGCTTGTTTGTATGCTTTTGTTCCAAATATACCATAGGCATTATTTTGCACTTCTTTTGGACATATATGTTTTTGTATTTCTTCTCCTTTTTCGAAGGGGTTTGTGCTCCTTTATTTCGATTTTTATCATGTGGATTTAGGAAACATACACAATTTTATGTGCATTCGTTTCTCCTAAAATACTTTGCTAGCCTTGGGGAGAAATACAGCTCTCCTACACAAGACAGCTGGTCTTTGGAGATGCAAAATAAATATTCCTGTATAAGTTAAGTTATTCAAAATGTTTGAGATCAGAAATAGTCTGGATTTTCTTTTTTCAGATTTGGGAATGCCGGTATTTGCATATATACATAATGAGATATCTTAAGAGATAGTCCCCATGTCTGAACATGCAATCATGTATATTGCATATACATCTTGTACGCAGATGTAACCTGGTGGCACAGTGAGTTAAACTGCTGAGTTGCAAAACTTGCTGACCGAAAGGTCAGCAGTTCAAATCCGGGGAACAGGGTGAGTTCCCACTGTTAACCCCAGCTTCTGCCAAACTAGCAGTTCGAAAATATGTAAATATGAGTAGATCAATAGGTACCGCTCTGGTGAGAAGGTAACAGGACTCCATGCACTCATGCCAGCCACATGACCTTGGAGGCGTCTATGGACAACACTGGCTCTTCGGCTTAGAAATGGAGATGAGCACCACCCCCCAGAGTCAGACATGACTATACTCAATGTCAGGGGGAATCATTTACCTTTACCTATGAGAAGACTGGAATGTGTGCATTCAAGAGAGCTAACCATCTCCTTTTCTTTCTCTCCCCCCTTGTTGTCCTCAGAGTTATCTGAATGTTTTATGGTGAATGGGGCTGATTATCGGGGTTCGCAGAACAGGACCTCCTTGGGGAGCACTGGACGTGCCTGCCTCTACTGGAACCAGACGCGGGAGCATGCCTACAACACAGCAAAATACTCCAATGGCGAGTGGGGCCTGGGCAGCCACAACTATTGCCGGAATCCGGATGGCGATGTCCAGCCTTGGTGCTACATCTCAGAGAATGAGGAAGGAATCTACTGGAAGTACTGCGACATCCCAACCTGCCACAGTGAGTATGGGGTCCCTGGGCAGGCTTTCTGTGTGTAAACTAAGAAATTTCCAGAGTTTCCAGAATTCCTCCATCAATATGGGTAAGATTCTGAGAGTTTTGGACCAAAGATATAACATTTCCCAATTCTGATGGAGTTGTCCCAATTATTCTCTTGGGCTGCATGTCCCCTGTGACAAATTTTAGATGAAAGCCCCTAATTTCCAAATATCAAGGAATGGCAATGCATGTCAAGCAGCAGCATGATATTACATATAATTTTTATTTCTTTAGTTATACTAATAATATGGTATTTGAGGAAGCAAGACTTTTATGCATTAGTCATTTTGCATCATAATAATTAGCTTGCATTGAGAGTCTTGTAGTTATGCTTTGTCTCCAAAGGGAGCATGTAATGGCGTTTCTGATCGTTGCCTTCTTTTTGATATGGATGAGAGCGTAATTAGACTATTTTGTTGTATTTTTCCCAGTGCCTGGCTATGTTGGTTGCTTTCTGGACTCTGGGACTCCCCCAGCATTGAGCGGAAGCAGTGGCACCTCCACCAAACTCACGGTGCAAGTTTGCCTCAGCTTCTGCCGCAAGCGAGGTTACAAGGTAAGCCAATCCCTGTCTCTCTCTCCTTCTGTTGTGGGCATCATCATAGGCTTATTTATGTTATTATTAGCTATGTTTCATGCCCTGTATTTTTATCCAATGAACGTAACCTGGTGGACACGACTGTCTGCCTCTCCATCCTCACAACAACTCTATCAGATAAACCAGAGTGATTGACCCAAAAGTGGATGTATGAGTCACCCAGCTTTATCCATACCCCTGCTTCCAGGGATCTATGCTGCTCTTTTAGCCTCAGAAAGCATATCTAAGTGATGTACCTCTTCCGGCAGGTCATTCCACAATCTTAATCTGTGGGTCCCAAGCTCGAATGGGGTCCCCTTAGCCCAGCGTTTCTCAATCTGGTGGTCGGGACCCGGGGGGGGGGGGTTGCAAGAGGTTTTCAGAGGGGTCACCAAAGACCATTCGAAAACATATGTCTGATAGTCTTAGCAACCTCTTTGGCAGAGAAGGCTGAAGATCTGCCACTTGTCCTTCTCTTCCTTTTTTGGATACAGCAAGATAGCAACCAAAAGCCCTCTTCTGCTGTGATTGGCCAGCCTCTCAGCTAGCCTCTCAGCCAGCCTCTCAGCCAAGGGGAGGACTGTTTCTAAGACTCCAAGCAGAGAGGGGAGAGCAGGCATGCTCGGCACATGGCAGTGTGGTGCGCATGTGTGGGGCAAGGGAGAGCACGTGAGGCTGAAGGAAGGATTTCTATGTGGGAAGTCTGGCCCAATTCTTTCATTGTTGGAGTTCATAACGCTGATTGTAGGTGAACTATAAATCCCAGCAACTACAACTCCCAAATGTCAAGGTCTTTTTTCCCCAAACTCCACCAGTGTTCATGTTTGGGCAAATTGAGTATCCGTGCCAAGTTTGGATCAGCTCTATCATTGTTTGAGTCCACAGTGCTCTCTGGATGTAAGTGAACTACAACTCCAAAACTCAAGATCAATGGCCACCAAACTCTTCCAGTATTTTCTCTTGGTCATGTGAGTTCTGTGTGCCAAGTTTGGTTCAATTCCATTGTTGTTGGAGTTCAGAATGCTCTTTGATCATAGGTGAACAATACATCTCAGCAACTACAATTCCCAAATGATAAAACCCCACCCCACCAGTATTCCAATTTGGGCGTATCGGGTATTTGTGCCACATGTGGTCCAGTGAATGAATACGCATTCTGCATATCAGATATTTACAATACGATTTATAACAGTAGCAAAATTACAGTTATGAGATAGCAATGAAAATAATTTTATGGTCACCGCAACATGAGGAACTGTAATAAAGGGTTGTGGCATTAGGAAGGTTGAGAAACACTGCTTTAGCCCAATGCTGTATGAATCCTTAAAAACATGCACTACACCAGTATAACAGACCAATACATTCATATTGCCTGGGAAACTCCAGTCCAACAAAGTAACTTTCCCTAGATCTGTGCCTTTGTTAATCCAAGAAGCAGAAATCACTCCAATACCATTTTTCTTAATCAGTTCTGCCACCTTTCATTATTATTATTATTATTATTGACACAAAAGCACAATATGTCACAGCAAACGAGATCTATATGCTGGATTTCGTATCACAGAATCACAAGTCAAACACTTCCCAAGAGTCTAGGACTGTGTGATGTATTTTCGAATGATGCGCGCAGATCCAAGTAAAGTGGCCTTTTGCTGTTGACAGATTGTGGTTTTGTCGATGTTTATTGTTTCCAAATGCCGGCTGGGATCTTTTGGCATGGCACCCAGTGCGCCAATGACCATTATTATTATTATTATTATTATTATTATTATTATTATTATTATTATTATTATATCCTGCTTTATCTCCCTCGAAGGGGACTCAAAGCGGCTTTACATAAAAGCATCAGCATAACAATTTGAAAATATACAGATACACGAGCATTAAAAGTGGATTAAATATAACCAGTATTAACATTTTCCATGGGTGCATCTACACTGCAAAAATGCAGTTTTGCATTCTTTAACTGTTATGGAATTGTGGGAGCTGTAGCTTTACAAGGACTAGCTTTCTCTGCCAAAGAGGGCTAGTGTCTCACTGAACTACATCTCCCAAGATTCCATAGCATTTGGCAATGACAGTTAAAGTGGTGTCAAACTGCATTAATTCTGCAGTGTAGGTGCACCCTATGTCTTCCACCAACTGAGTAGCCTAAGGAGCATCAGATACTATATTATGGTTCCCTGTTGGCAACCCATCAGCTTAATCCTCAGGACTGAGTAAGACAGAGTTCTCCCATTTGAGTTGTAAATTTGTTTTTCTCGTTCTGGGCGATCAATTTTTTATGAGCGCAGCAAATCTACAGTTGTTACCCATTTGTTGCACTCAGTTTGGGCGTCTGCCTTTGCAGTTATGCTCCTGTTTTGGGGATTTTGCATTTGCTCGAATGACGTACACTACACATTTCAAAGTGTTTACATTTTGTTTTGCATATGGGAATACGTTGCTCTGTTTGTCTTCCCCATTATATGGTTTACATTTAGTCTTTCCCATTGTCTTTCTTAGAAGCTCTTAAAGTCAAGAACTCTTTCCCTGCTGTTCAGCTAAATTAATTTAATGTCTCCAAAGTCTCCAGTAGCATTACTGGAAGGTTCAGTTTCCCCCCAGGATCTGGAAAAGTTACTTTGGAGGACTATTACTTGCAGAAGCTCGCACCTAGCACAGATGGTAACCATTCCGATGGGGGGATTTTGGGACTGACAATCCAAAAATGTATTGGGTTGTTGTGAGTTTTCCGGGCTGTATGGCCATGTTCTAGAAGCATTCTCTCCTGACGTTTTGCCTTCATCTATGGCAGGCAAATGTATTGTTTACAGTCTTTGCCCAGAGCAGACGAGAATGGAAGAGGAATGCCATTCAGTTTATTGAAATCTGGTATCCATTTTCCTTTCATAAACAAGGCTCTCCCAAACCATAAACCACCACGAGACCAAACATTCTTCTTGGAGAGATATGATAAAATAATAGGGAACAGTGAAGCTGGAAAATTAATGAAGTAATGCTAAGCTTTGCAAGATAAGATTTATGGGACAAAGGGAGAGAAACCCAGTTGGTGTACTTTTAATGTCTATCATGTGCTATTGTTGACGGTTGTGTAATATAACGGTTATATATAACATTTTCCAAAAATTATAAGTAAATCCAGCCCTGGTTTCTCGAGCCAGTAAGTACAAGGCCACATAAGGCCACTTGCAGATTCTTCTTGGGAGGAGTGTCTTGTGCTTGGAAACTTTTCTCTCCTATTTTCTAAAGGCAGTACTGTATTCTATTAATAATTTGAGTTAATAAATGCCTTTCGTTGCAATGTATTTGATTATAGGCACATAATTTGCGCTCCCCCTCCTAAATTAATTTAGGCATCCTGACTGCAATATCCAGTTAAGCAGTGTTTCACAACCTTCCTAATGCCATGACCCCTCCATAAAGTTCTTCATGTTGTGGTGACCCCCAATCATAATATTATTTTTGTTGCTACTTCATAACAATAACTTTGCTACTATTATGAGTCGTAATGTAAATATCTGATCATGCAGGATGTATTTTCATTCACTGGACCAAATTTGGCACAGATACCCAATATGCCAAAATTTGAATACTGGTGGGTTTTGGGAGGGAGGGATTGATTTTGTCATTTGGGAGTTGTAGATGAGGATGATGATGATGATGATGAACTTTATTTATACCCCGCTACCATCTCCCGGGGTGGCTACATGAGGCCAAGCCCAAGATTACAGTACAGCAAAATAATTTATTTACAGTATTTCTATACCACTTTTCTCACCCCTAGAGGGACTCAAAATAAAATACAAACAAGCAAATAATAACATCAAAATAAATGTACATGAAATAAAATAAAATAAACAGTTTCAAATTGATAGAGAAATAGAGCACAGTGGGCGGGCCAAATGTACTAGGAATAAAATTGATAAAATTGATAAAACCCTAGATGATATATGTAGAATGTGTTTCTCAGGGAGAATGGGTTTCTGAGGGAGGAACACAGTAGAGTTAGGCCTTCATTAAGGATAGGGGAAAGTGCCTCATGAGGACGGAGCAGTAGTTAGAACAGACTGCATGTGGAAAATATATTCATTCGCCGGGATTTATAGTTTACCTACAATTGTTGCTGGGATTTATAGTTCACCTACAATCATTCTGAACTCCACCAACAATGGAATTGGGCCAAACTTGGCCCACAGAACTCCCATGACCAACAGAAAATACTGGGAAGGTTTGATGGGCATTGACCTTGAGTTTTGGAGTTGTAGTTCATCTATATCCAGAGAGTACTGTGGACTCAAACAATGATGTATCTGGACCAAACTTGGAACAAATATTCACTATGCCCAAATGTGAACACTGGTAGAGTTTGGGGGAAAATAGACCTTGGCATTTGGGAGTTGTAGTTGCTGGGATTTATAGTTCATCTACAATCAAAGAGCATTCTGAACTCCACCAACAATGGAATTGGGCCAAACTTGGCCCACAGAACTCCCACGACCAACAGAAAATACTGGGTTTGGTGGGCCCTGACCTTGAGTTTTGGAGGTGTAGTTCACCGACATCCAGAGATCACTGTGGACTAAAACATTGATGGATCTGGACCAAACTTGGCACGAATACTCAATAGGTGCAAATGTGAACACCAGTGGAGTTTGGGGAAAATAGATCTTGATATTTGGGAGATGTCGTTGCTGGGATTTATAGCTCACCTACAATCAAAGAGCATTCTGAACTCCACCAAGGATGAAATTGAACCAAACTTGGCACACAGAACTCCCATGATGAACAGAAAATCCTGGAAGTGTTTGGTGGGCACTGACCTTGAGTTTTGGAGGTGTAGTTCACCTACATCCAGAGATCACTGTGGACCCAAACAATGATGGATCTGGACTAAACTAAGACCATCAGAAATATGTGTTTTCTGATGGTCTTTGGCAACCCCTGTGACGCATGCCCCCAGGGGTCCCAGTTCCCAGGTTGAGTTAGGGACTGGTAAATGACTCTTGGCCATTGCCAATGAACATGAATGGAAATGCAGCTGCAATGTGCTCAAGCCATTGCATGACTTTTCTTTTGCAATTGACTTAGAGTTACAATTCATTTTAAAGTGCTTTGCCTGTGGCGCGTCCTACCACACTCCACCTGTCTGGTTCTATAAGTATTAATTAGCCATTAAAAGGATCATTGATGAAGCAACTTAACAATTCTTCCCTAAAGCTTGATTGAAATACTGGCCCTAATCCAGAAAAAGTTTGTCACAGAGTGTTCAAGTCTTATTTCCAAACTATCTGAGGCTACAGCAGGCATGGGCAAACTTCGGCCCTCCGGTAGGCTGTTAGGAATTGTGGGAGTTGAAGTCCAAAACACCCAGAGGGCCGAAGTTTGCCCTTGCCTGGTTTACACTGCCATATAATGCATCTCAATGCAGTTAAACTCCATTATCAAACTGCATTATATGGCAGTGTAGATGGGGCCCCAGGCATGTTACAAGTTACAGAAACATATTCACCATTTCTACAAATACATTATTTCGCTACTTCTCTTTCTCTCCTAAAGTTTGCTGGCGTAGAAGCTGGCTATGCCTGTTTCTGTGGCCACGAAGGGGATGTCCGCCATAGTCAGCCAGTGAGTGCCGTGGAGTGTGACCAAGTCTGCTTTGGCAAATCCAGTGAACTGTGTGGAGGAGATGGCCGGATAGGCATATACAATGGTAAGTGTATTGTCACGAACCAGGCTTAAATAATGAAATTAGTCGAGATTTATGTGCTTATGTATTGGTACAGGCAGTCCCCAAATTACAAACATCCAGCTTATAAATGACTCATAGTTAAGAACAGAAATGTGACCACAAGAAGTGAGAGAAATCTACCCCTAGAAAGGGAAATTAACCCCTGAAAGAGTTATCGTAGGGAAAAGGTGTCTCCACTGAAGCTCTATCACCAATTTAGTTTCCACAAGAAGACAAATTTTCCAAAATTCAATTATAACAGGGTAAAAGTGAGGTGAAATCTTCTGAACAGTGCACAAAGAGCAAAACAAACACTACAGGGGTGTTAACCTTTCCCTGTGCTATCTAAAGTTAATAAACTGTGTGTATGTATGTGTGTATAGGGGCCACGGTGGTGCAGTGCAGTTCAAATCCATGGAACAGGGTGAGCTCCCATTGTTAGACCCAGCTTCTGTCAACCTAGCAGTTCGCAAACATGCAAATGTGAGTAAATCAATAGGTACTACTTCTGCAGGAAGGTAATGAAGCTCCATGCAGTCATGCCGGCTAAATGACTTTGGAGGTGTCTATGGACAATGCCGGCTCTTTGACTTAGAAATGGAGATGAGTACCACCCAGAGTTGGACACCACTAGACTTAATGTCAAGGGGAAACCTTTACTTTTTATGTGTGTGTGTGTATACACACACACACACACACACACACATATGGCTGGAGTTTCACTTAGAAAATGTACCTGTTCCGACTTACATACAAATTCAACTTAAGAACAAACCTACCTGGTTCGTAATTCAATATATCCATGGTGTCTGAGGCCCCTTCTACACCCCCATATAAAATCCAGATTGTCCGCTTTGATAAACTGGATTGTAGGACAGTGCAGAAGGGGCTTGAGTTATTTCCTCCCTTTTTCCATAATACTGTTGGAGCTGCTTTAAGTCTCCTTTGTGGAGAGAAAAAGTGAGGTATATATTATTATTATTATTATTATTATTATTATTATTATTATTATTGTGTTGTTGAAGGCTTGCATGGAGTTTTCTGGGCTGTATGGCCGTGTTCCAGAAGCATTTTCTCCTGACGTTTCACCCATTTCTATGGCAGGCATCCTTAGAAGTTGTGAGATCATGGGTCTGAGTATGCCTGCCATAGATGTTGGTGAAACATCAGGAGAAAATGCTTTTGGAACATAGCCATACAGCCCAGAAAACTCACAGCAAATAATAATAATAATAATAATAATAATAATAATAATAATAATAATAATATACCCAATCAAATTAGTAGATAGTAGGTGTAGGGGTATATGGCTGTGTGGAAGGACCCCTACACCTACTATCCACTAATTTGATTGGGTATATTATTATTATTATTATTATTATTATTATTATTATTATTATTATACAGGCAGTTCCAAGTAATCAACCAGATTAAGTTGAATTTGTATATAAATTGGAACAGGTACATTTTCTAAGTGAAGCTCCAGTCATATATGTGTGTGTGTGTGTTATTATATTATATTATATTATATTATATTATATTATATTATATTATATTACAGTACAGTACAGTACAGTACAGTGTGGACTCAGATAAACCAGCGTAAAGCAGCCATTGAGCTGCCTTGATATTCAGTGTCTGCTTTAAGCTGGTTTATCTGAGTCCATGGTTATTCAGAAACATTCCTGTTTAGGGTTCACAGCAGGGGTCTGAAATCCCTGAAACTCTTGGGAGCAGTGATGAGCAACATTAGAATATGGGATTTTCCTGCAAGAATGGGTAAAACAAAGTTCATTCCCATATTATGGAATTAAGGCTACAATGCTATATGCTCACTTAATGGGGAGGAAAATCCATTGAGCGTCATGAGGCATTTAAGTAGCAATATATGTGTCTTTGCCCAAGCTCATCTTTTGCTGCATGAAAGGACACTAAGCGTTTGCCAGTGTCAAGAGGGAGTGTCTGGCTTAGAAATGGGAAGAATGCATTGCAGATGGGATTGTGCGTATTTTGGGGTTTGCACAAGGGAAACTTTCCCAGCCTGCCTCCAAAGTGGATATCATTTTGCTCCTGTCCTTCCAGTTTCATGTTCTCAACATCTGGATTGCATGTATTTATTTATTTTTAACCAACATTGGGGTTTTTTTATTTTATGTTTTTCATTTTCCTATTTCTTCGGACACGGTCGGGCTGTTTTCTTTCCCAGTTTGTTACTCTGAGAGATGTCAAAGCGTGGCGTGTCAGCTTCACAGATTAGTTTTCATTTCTTTTACAAAGTGTCTTCTAAGAACAAAACCAAACAACAGCAAGACTTGGCGTTGGTTCATGTTGTGGTTTTCAGAGATCACAAACAACAATTTAAATCCAATTGTTAATCCCGATGGAGTAGAGTCATTAAATCAAAGAGAACATATTAAATGAATACATATCTAAATTCAGTTTGATTGACTAGGTCTACTTTTTAGGGGATAATAATTAGACGGAACAGGAGCCCCTGATGGCGCAGTGGGTTAAACCGCTGAGCTGCTGAGCTTGTTGACCGAAAGGTCGCAGGTTGGAATCCGGGGAGCGGTGTGAGCTTCTGCTGTCAGCCCCAACTTCTACCAACCTAGCAATTAAAAAACATGCAAATGTGAGTAGATCAATAGGTGCCATTCCAGCAGGAAAGTAATGGCGTTCCATGCAGTCATGCTGGCCACATGACCTTGGAGGTGTCTACGGACAATGCTGGCTCTTCAGCTTGGAAATGGAGATGAGCACCAACCCCCGAAGTTGGACATCACTGGACTTATTGTCAGGAGAAAACCTTTACCTTTACCTAATTAGACGGAGGCTGCAAAAAATAAGTGGGTGATTCCCATGTGTGATTTCCCCCTGCTATAACGTGTTGTGCTTATTCACTTTTGCATCTGCTTTCCGAGGGCCTGTCCAGACAGTACCTTTATCCCAGGAGCTTCCATAGCAAGGGTGTCCAACACCATTCCCTGTAAATGTGGAAGCAATTGTTACAAAAAGCAAAAAACATGGGATATTCTAGGTGCGAGAATATTGCGATTTTGAGCCGAATATCTGAATCTTATTTATTTATTATTTATTTACTTTATTTGTATACCGCTGTTCTCGGCCCTTAGGCGACTCACAGCGGTTAACAACATGAACAGCAAAAATTCAATGCTACAATAACACAGTATAAAAAACAGTTAACATCATAACACATTATAGAAAAGTATACAATTAACAACAATATACAATTAACAACAATAGCCATTCACTAGCGTCTCATCACTAAAAACATGATCCAGATCCGTCATCCATTGTTCCATTCCTATGTTCATCATTACACTCATTGCATTGACTATTCGAACGCCTGCTCAAACAACCATGTCTGTATGTTTGTATGTCCTTGCAATCGGAAATCAAAGAATTTTTTATCTAGATTTGTTCCCAGGTTTTAGATGTTTTTCCTGATTGGTCAGTTCCTTTTAAAAAGATGACAGTTGAGTAGAAGGTGAAACCTTTGTGTGCCAGAAACTTCATGAAATGTGTGGTGGGCACATTTTCTCTGGCCAGGACAAAGTTGTGGCCCCTTAGTCAACATTGTACATCTTTTCACAAGAGCAGCCATCAGGAACAGACATGTATAACCCAGGAACAGCACCCTGTCTGCACTGATGGCCCAGCAGCTTATATAACCCAGGAATGGAACTTATACAATGCTTTCCATGATCATCTTAAGTTTTTTTAAAAAAAAAAAACCACCAAAATTTCCATGGTGGATGTTCCATGGTGGCCATCTTGGGAGTCTCTAAATTCCACAATGAAGCATTGAGTCTGAACAGAAATCCCGGGACCAACAGGTCTGTATGTGGACGTCTTCTGAAGTCCCGGGATTTTTTGCCCATTTAAAACCTGTGATTTAGTGCTGTCTGGAAGCTCCCTCACCTAATAGGAGATGCCTTTATTCAGACTGATCAAATAGGATACTTTTTACTGATCAGATTATTTCAAATCCCCAAACCTAACCTACTAATGGTCACAGTTCTCATAATGATTGCATTCTTCTTCTTTTGCTGCTGTCTCCTCTCCTGTCCTCCAACTCCACAGTCTCCATGGGCGCCTGTCAAGGAAACTTCAGTGATCCTTCTGGAGTGATCTACTCTCCGCAGTTCCCAGATGACTATGAAGCCGACAGCAACTGCAGCTGGGCCCTGCGTCCTGTGGGGTGCGATTCCGTGGAGCTCACTTTCCGCATTTTTGACGTTCACGACCCCAATGACCGCCTGGAGCTGCGGGACGGACACAGCAATGTCTTGTTGGCCCAGTTTGATGGTCGCTGGAGGCCGGGAGCTCCCCTGCTCTTTCCTACTGACTACCTACTCCTCTCCTTCCAGTCGGACCAGCTTATGCAAGCTCAGGGCTTTGCCATCTTGTACAGAGGTAGGCACTCAGGCCTGACCTTGACAGCCCCAATATACTTGTCTGTAGGGCAGAAAAAACGAACTAAACCTGTTCTATGTGTGTGGAACAAGTTCTACACATGAGCTTTGAAACAGGATATGAAGAAATCTGGGGGGTAACAGCAACAAGGGTAATGATGGGGTAGGCATTTCATCCAGAATAACAACTGTTACGATAGAATAATAGAGTTAGAAGAGACCCCAAGGGGCATCCAGTCCAACCTCCTACTATGCAGGAACATACAATTAAAGCACTCCTGACAGAAGGCCATTCATCATGTTTCAAAGCTTCCAGAGCAGGACATTTCATCACACTCCAAGGCAGTGTATTCAACTGTCAAAGCCCTTTACTTTAGGAAGTTTTTCCTAATGTTTAGGTGGAAACTCTTCTCCTGCATTTGGAATCCATTGCTCTGGATCTTTGCCTCTAGGGCCCCTTCCACACGGCTGTATAAAATCCACATTGAACTGCATTATATGGCAGTGTAAGATAAGGGTCCTTCCATGCAGCCCTATATCCCAGAATAACAAGGCAGAAAATCCCACATTATCTGAAGGCCCATCCAGACAGTACCTTTATCCCAGGAGTTTCCACAGCAAACAGGAGGGTGGCCAGACGCCATTCCCTGTAAATGCGGAAGCAATTACTACAAGAGGCAAAAAATGCGAGATTTCTAGGTCCGGGAATATTGTTGTTTTCAGCTGAATATGCAGATCTTTGCATATCTGTATGTCTCTGCAATGAGACATCACAACATTTTTATCTTGGTTTGTTCCCAGGTTTTAAATGTTTGTTCCCAATAGGTCGGTTCCTAAAAAGAAGGTGACAGTTGAGTAGAAGGCAAAAACTTTGTTTGTGTGCCAGAAACTTCATGAAACGCATGGAGGGCACATTTTCCTCTGTTCAGGACAAAGTTGTGGCCCCCAAGTCAATGTTGCACATCTTTTCACAATAAGAGCAGTCAAGAACAAACATGTATCACGCAGGAACAGCACCCTGTTTGCACAGATCATCCCATAGCTTATATAACCCAGGAACAAAACTTATACAATGATTTGCATCTTATGGATTTTTATTTTAAAAATCCACTAAAATTTCTGGTGGAAGTCCTGCAACGGCCATCTTGGGAGCCTTCAAATCCCACAATGAAGCCTCAAGTCTGGACAACTGAGGCAGAAAACCCTTGACTAACGGTCTGTATGTGGACATCTTCTGAAGTCCCGGGATTTTTTGCCCCTGTTTAAAACCTGTAATTTAGTGCTGTCTGGAAGCGCCTTGAGTGTGGACTCAGATAACCCAGTTCAAAGCAGATACTGTGTGATTTTCTGCCTTGATATTCTGGAATATAGGGCTGTGTGGAAGGGCCCTCTGATAACCCAGTTCAAAGCAGATATTGTGTGATTTTCTGCTTTGATATACTGGGATATAGGGCTGTAGGGAAGGGCCCTCGAATAACCCAATTCAAAGCAGATATTGTGGATTATCTGCCTTGATATTCTGTGTTATATGGCTGTGTGGAAGGGTCCTAAAGCAGCAGAAAACAAGCTTTACCCCTCTTCAATACAGTATCCTTTCAAATATTTAAACATGGCTATCATGATGATCCTCAAAGACCAGGAGAAGGAATCCCGTGGCCTTCCAGATGTGGACAGACCATTCCTCTCTTCATTGGCTGTGTTGACTAGGGCTGCTCAAAGTTGGAGTCCAACAACATCTGGAGAGTCAGTTTCCACTCCTGATAATGATAGGACTGGGAGAGGTGGTCTGCTGAGAGTACAGGGAAGTTCCTTCTGGGGGATTGCAACACCCAAAAGCCCCCAAACAGCATGCAGTCTGGAGGATGTTTGTAGTTTAAGTCCCTTCAAAGGAACTTTCCCAGGCTCAGAGTAGAACCGTCTTTGAACTCCTGGACTCACCCTAGCGCTTGCCAACTCTTCCCTGGGGCTGAGAGCGTCGGAGTCTCTAATTATAAAGCTCCTGGTTCCACACCTGCAAAGGGGAGGCAGATGAAGGAGGACTGTCCCTTTGAACTGGGGCCCTGGGAAGGGGGAACGTTTCTTCAATTGTCAGCCCTTGCGAAGCCTGCTCAGTGCCTTACTCACACTGACTCGCCCCCTCACCCCAACCCAGTAGGTGCAGCACCTTTGAAATCGCAACCCCATGCCCTCCATGCAACCCAACCAGATAATTATGGTTAGGTTCCTTCTGATGCTGTGGCCTCGGGGCCATAGCCAAAAATGTTTGTGATGCAGCTGAGGAGTGTAAGGGTGTAAGGAACAAGGTGAGGGGTGAAGGGAGACAAAATGCAGGACAAAGAGCAAGAGCAAATGGCTTGACACTTTATTGTGTAACTAGCATAGCTAACCGAAGTTGCCTGTGTGCCCCCTGTTTTCATCCCTTCTTTTTCTTTTCCTCCATTCATTCCTTTTCCCTCTTCCTTTCTATTCCTTCCTTCCCTCCTTCTTCTTTCTTCCCCATTCCCTCCCTTTCTTCCTTCTCCTTTCCCTTCTTTCTTTCTTTCTTTCCTTCCTTCCCTCCTTCCTTCCTTCCTCTCTCTCTCCTTTCCCCTTCTCCAGCTCTGATAGCGCCTCACAATGTCTCCGTGGCTCTCTTTCCTTCCTTCCTCACTTCCCCTCATACAATTGTCCCTTTTCTTTCCCAGTGACATCATGGAGGACCACTTCACCTAACAACAGCCAACCCAGTGGCATCACAAAGACCTACTAAGGCCCCCTTTCACACAGCTGTATAAAATCCACATTGAATTGGATTATATGGCAGTGTGGCCTCAGATAACCCAGTTCAAAGCAGATATTGTGGATTATCTTGGTATTCTGGGTTATATGGCTGGGTGGAAGGGCCCTGAATTGTTTTTGCGGTACACGTAGACAGGTATACTTTAACTTTTATATAGACAGACAGATGAATAGGTACAATCAGCTTTTAATTATTTTAATAGTAAGGTAAAGGTTAAGGTTTCCCCGGACATTAAGTCTAGTCATGTCTGACTCTGGGGAGTGGTGCTCATCTCCATTTCTAAGCCGAAGAGCCAGCATTGTCCATAGAAACCTCCAAGGTCATGTGGCCAACATGACTGCGTGAAGTGCTGTTACCTTCCCGCCAAGGTGGTACCTATTGATCTACTCACATTTGCATGTTCTCGAACTACTAGGTTGGCAGAAGCTGGGCCTAGCAGCGGGAGCTCACCCTGCTACCTGGATTTGAATCGCTAACCTTTCGGTCAGCAAGTTTAGCAGCTCAGCAGTTTAAGCCACTGCACCACTGGGGGTGCCTTATTAAATATTAATATTTAATAATTGTAATACTTCTTATGTGTTTGATTATCCTTATGCCTCTGTATTGGGTGTATGTATGTTTGTGTAAGTGTGTGCCTATGTTGTCATCATACACGCCCTTTTCCTTCCTCTCCATTCTCCTTATTGATTTATATCTGACCCATTCCCCAAATAAGAGACGTACCAGTAAGTTGATATGTAGCAATGAAAAGAAGTACAAATAATAATAATAATAATAATAATAATAATAATAACAGCAGCAGGACAGAAACATTAGCTCAGGTATGGGCAAACTTTGGCCCTCCAGGTGTTTTGGACTTCAACTTCCAGAATTGCCTATCGGCCGTTAGGAATTCTGGAAGTTGAAGTCCAAAACACCTGGAGGGCCAAAGTTTGCCCATACCTGCATTAACCTCTCCCATCTCTGAAAAAAAATCTCACCAGCTCTATTTCTGTTCAGGGAGAAACGAATCACAGTAATATTACATTGAATGACTAAAATTATACTTTTCTTACATGACCATCAAAACTAGCCCCCTGAGGCAGCTGCCCACTCTTGCTAAACACTCAGGTCTTCCCACCTGTTTCCCACTCAATGGCTGACCTATTTGAAGAGGCCTTTCTTTTTTACGGGATGGCTCGCCTTATTATGGATCTCCAGAGAAGACAAAAGAAGGCGTAGAATTATATAAAAATGCTGTATCCTAATTTATAGGTATGCTCAGAAATAATTACTGTCATTGAAACACAGTCTTTCTCACCATTGTGAGAATTCTCACCATTCTCACCTGTCGCCTGCACCCCTGCTTAGTTCTTACAATACAATTTTCTTTGAATTAGGTTTAGAACAAATAGTGATCCAAATAGACTAGATTGCTTCAGTTTGCTATCCTTACACAGCTCTCCAAATGAAAGACTTGACCTCTGTCAAGGAGGCTTAAGGTACCTCTACTAATAATATAATATAATATAATATAATATAATATAATATAATATAATATAATATAATATAATATAATATAATATATTGTATGTACATATAATATTTATAATATTATAATGTAATGCAATATAATAATACAATATTATAATTCTATATTTTATATTACATGTAATATTATTAATAATCTATATAAATAAAAATGTAATGTTTGTTTTTGGGATTGACATAACTCAAAAACCACTGGGTGAATTGACACCAAATTTGGACACAATACAGCTGTCAGGCCAACAAGTGACCATCATGCCTAAAAACCCAACCCCCCCCCCACCAGAATGGACTTTAAACCCCCCCAAAATAAATCATATATACATAAACACATACGTTCATATACATATACAAATGCACACATACATACAGACGCACACATATATATACGCAAGCACACACAAATCTACACATACACACACATACCCTTACACCTATATAGATATACACATACATACACATATAAACACACATATATGCATATATACAAGCACACACATATACACAATATACATATACACATATAAACACAGAAATATATATATACACATTCACACATACAGACACACATATACGCAAGCACATACAACTATACACATAGAGTATACACACACATACATATACACATGCAACCATATACATATACACATACATACACACATATACACACATATATGCATATACACAAGCACAATATAGACAATAAACATATACACATAAACACAGAAACACACAAATATATACACACATGTATACACACACATGTATATATACACACAAACACACATATATACACATATACACAAATATATACATAGACATAAACACATATATATACACACAAAACACATATAAACAGACTAGGCCACAGCAACGCATGGCAGGGGACGACTAGTATTACTACAACAATTATATTGTAATAGTAGTCGTCCCCTGCCATGCGTTGCTGTGGCCCAGTCTGTGTATATGTGTTTTGTGTGTGTATATATATGTGTGTGTATATATTTGTGTGTTTCTGTGTTTATATGTTTATTGTGTATATGTGTATGGTATAGTGCAATATAGCAATATATAATACTGATATTGTACTATGCTAATAATACAATATTTTGTATGTATATATATCTTGTAAACCGCTCTGAATCCCCTTTGGGGTGAGAAGTGCAGCATATAAATGTCATAAATAAATAAATAAATAAATAAATCTACAGTGTAGAATTGATGCAGTTTGATACTGCTTTAACTGCCATGGCTCAATGCCATGGAATCCAGGGATTTGTGACTTGGTGAGGCACCACCACTTTATGGCAGAGAAGGTGAAAGACCTTGACATCCTGACCATACTCTGATGTTGCTCGGCCACCCAGGCTTCATCTGAACAATGTTGGAGGGTGTGATAATATCTCAAATTGATAGGGAACAAATTAAACTTCTGCCTTTGGGAACAGGTTGGATTACAAATCCACTGTAACATCACTCTGTGGTTTTCATTATAGGGTTGAAAGGTTCATCGGTGAACTTACGAACCCTCCCCGGTGATGGATCCCGTCTCGTCCCAACCTCCTCCGATTGGCTGAACTCCACCTGGACCTACAGTGCCAGTGACCCTGCCATTGGAGTAGGAGGTAAGTTGAAGACTCATAAGGCCCATGCAGACTTTACCTTTATTCCAGGAGCTTCCGCAGCAAACACGAGGGTGAAAATCTTTGAATGTCTATATATCCCTGCATTTGGAAATCACGGGATTTTTTATCTGTGTTTGTTCCTGGGTTTTAGATGCTTGTTCCTGATTGATCGGTTCCTAAAAAGAAGGTGACAGTTGAGTAGAAGGCAAAAACTTTATGTGCCAGAAAGTTCATGAGACTTGTGGGGGGCACATTTTCTCTGGCCAGGACAAAGTTGTGGCTCCCTTGTCAACATTGTACATCTTTTCATAAGAAGAGCAATCAGGAACAGGCATGTATAACCCAGGAACAGCACCATGTCTGCACAGATGCCCCTGCAGCTTATATAAGCCAGGAAAAGAACTTACACAATGATTCGGATGTTCGCATCTTAAGTTTTTTATTTTTTTTAAAAACGTCGAAATTTCTGGTGGAAGTCCCATGACAGCCTTGTTGGGGGCTACAAAATCCCATGACAAAGCATCAAGTGTGAATAACAGAAGCAGAAATCCCAGGACCAACAGGTCTGTATCTGGGCATCTTTTCAGATTCCTGGGTTTTTTTTGCCCCTGACTAAAGTGCATAATTTAGTGCTGTCTTTCCTTGCTTTCCTTAAACTAATCTGGGATATTAGGAATCTTAGTAGACCAAAAGCTGAGTATGAGTCAATTGTGTGAAATGGGAGCTCACAAAACCACTGCGATTCTAAACTGCATTGATAGTACATATACGAGGTTTGAATGAAAAGTAATGCCTCCACCTTTGTAATTCCTCAACAGATGGCAGTACTGGTATGCGGCAGGTACTGGCTTGTTCAGTAGACTCACCTCTACAGTTCAATTTTGGCGGGAAGCCTTAGCATTGAATGGTTGTGTTGTTAAAGTGCAAAGTATAGAACCCTGCACAGACGGTCGGTCAATGCGACTTAAGCAACGTGTAGTCATTGAATTCTTGACACCTCAACATCTTTAAACTTACTCGCCCAATGACACACAGTACTCACATCAACACAATCACCATAAATGTATTCTCTGATGAATCTCCTTTGGGGTGACACCTTCTGCTGTCAAGTAGAAATGGTTGAGCAAAATGCCCAAGCAAAGGCTCCTCAGAGCAAAAGCTGAACTGTATACTAAAAATCATACAGTTATACCCCACCAGATGTGGTCCAAACTTACTAGTTGACCTACATTAGCAGCTGCACATAATAATTAACAGCATAATATTTTCTTTAACACGCACACATACTTGATCCTGTTATGACTTACTGTAACATAAATGCCAGAGGAAACCTTTATCTTTACTTTAATCTGGATTTTATATGGCAGTGTAGATGTAGCCGTGGAGTCTTATCTTTTGGAGGTTTTTCTATAGAGGTCAGATGGCCATCTGCTAGGAGTGCTTGTACTGTGTCTTCCTGCATGGCAGAGGGTTGGACTGGATGACTTTTGGGGTTTCTTCCAACTCTATGATTCTGTTTTTCTAATCTGTCAGACTGGCTCTGGGTAAACCCAGTCTCTGACAGATCTCTTTTCCTCCAGACTGAAGAACCTGCATTGTTGGTGACACATCACCTGCTGCAGAAATGCTGACGCCGTTTTTTTTAAAGTGAGATTTTATTTTGGGAGAGGAGGATTTGGAGGCAAGACAGGCAGAGTCTCTGTGTGGGTGTGCTTAATCCTAATTTCCACCTGTCGTTTAAACTATTCAGAATACCTTGTAAGGCAGCCACACAGGTTGAAAAGTTTCCACTTGTGTGTTTTCTACGGTGAACATGTGACTGGCACCTTGTGGTCAAGGGGAAATTGCTCATTAAAGGAGTCGTTTACAACCAGGGTAGCCATAAATTGACCGGGGATTTGAAGGCACAGAGATACGCAGAGAGAGGAGAGAAAACAGCACAGCTTTCCCACTTCCACTCCCTTGTTATAAACCCATCGCTTTCTCAATGAGTCTTCACTTTGAAACAAATTTGGAACTTGAGAACATATATTTCCTTGCAAGCAGAACCGAGGAATTCAGTCTTTGCAGATTCCATGTGAACTGACCAGAGTTGTACCTCCTGGAATAATGTATGAATTAGGACCCATCTACACTACCATATAATCCGGATTCAGAATGCAGATTTGACTGCATTGAACTGGATTATACAGTAGAGAAGACTCATAATTCTGTTCAATCTGCATTATATGAGTCTACACCAGGCATGGGCAAACTTGGGTCCTCCAGGTGTTTTGGACTTCAACTCCCACCATTCCTAACAGCCCCAGGCTCCTTAAGCGGCTGAGGGGGAAAAGGAAAGGGCCTGAGGCTGTTAGGAATGGTGGGAGTTGAAGTCCAAAACACCTGGAGGACCCAAGTTTGCCCATGTCTGGTCTACATTGACCATTATAATGTATTTCGAGATGGATTGTATGGCATTGTAAATGGGGCCTTTGTGATCCACCTGCCCGACTCTTTCAATGGCATTTTGAAAAGAATCCAAATCTTACTGTAACGTGCATTGTGAGAAAAAATAGATTTGGAAATGCATTCTTTGGAAACAATACACATTTTTTGTTGGAATAAGAATGGAGGTTGTGAGGTCTGTTGGAAACTTGGCAAGTGAGGTTTATATATCTGTGGAAGATCCAGTTGGGAGAAAGGACTCTTATATGTTTGAGAAAAATGTGACTGTTGCAATTGGCCACCTTACATGTTTTATGTAATTATGATGTTGTGGTTTATTGTCTGCATTTTCGGTTGTGTTGTGGTTTTATTTTATTGTAATTTGTTGTTTGGGCTTGGCCTCATGTAAGCTGCTCCGAGTCCCCACTGGGGAGATGGTGGCGCAGTATAAATAAACATTATTATTATTATTATTATTATTATTATTATTATTATTATTATTATTGATTAGCATCCAATAAACTTGCAGCTTCAAAGCTCGGCTGCTTCCTGCCTGGGGCAATCCTTTGTTGGGAGGTGTTGAGAAGCTGCAAGGTTATTCAATGCTAATTTAAGTGGCCAATTGCAACATTCACATCTGACTCAAGCAGACAAAAGTTCTTTCTCCCACTCTGGACATTCCACAGATATATAAACCTCACTTGCCAAGTTTCCAATAGACCTCACAACTTCAGAGAATGCCTGCCATAGATGTGGGCAAAACGTTAGGAGAGAATGCTTCTGGAACACTGTCATACAGCTTGGAAAACTCACAGCAACCCAGTGATTCCTGCCATGAAAGCCTTTGACAATACTCTTTATTTAGTTTCCTATATTGCTCCTTTTAAAAGTTGTAGTAATGCAGTACTGGTGTCAACCAGGAGAGGGCACCATCATTTGGCTTTCCAATTCAATGGTCAGAGTTTGGTGAAGGAATGCATACTAAACAGTAAATACAGCCATATATTCTGGTCAAAATTTTGTACCGTAGAAAGGAGATCAGAAGTTTTCATACATGAAAGCATAAATCCTTGAGGACCTTTTCCTGTTTGTTATCACAATTCTACAGTGTCTGATTGGTTATTTTGAATTTGCAGTAAGACAGCATTGTTAATATGAAGTTGGAGGGAGGCACTATGCCATAGGGAAAATCATAGTTCAAAAAAAAAAAAAACCCCACACACTTATCCAAGCATTGATTTAAAATTTTGTCCTATTGGGAACAGGAAAACCTCTATTTCCTACTTTAAAGGGTTCTCTGAATGTATAACATTAGTCAGTGTTTATATTTGTTGGAACTGGTGCAGGATTTCTTGAAAGGAGCCTAGTGTTGGGAATGAACATATTCCAGTTGCTGCACAACAAATATAGTAAGAAAGGGTGAGCGCTTTTTGCAACCGAGAGCCATATTGATGTGTTGGACTATAACTCCAATTATCCCCAGCTAGCTCAAGGAACATGGGGGTTGTAATTCAACACACTAGAACAAGCATGGGCAAACTTTCTAACTTGGGGCTGCATGCAAGTACTCCCTGCTAGGAGAACTGGCTGTCCAGTGATGAAAGAAAGGATGGGAAGAAGGAAGGAAAGAGAGAAGGAAGGAGGGAAGGATGAAACGGTGAAAGGGAAGGATGGAAGGAGAAAGAGGGGAGGGAGGGAGGGGGGAAGGAGGAAGGAAAGAGAGAAGAAAGGAAAGACAAAAGGGAGTGAAGGACAAAAGGGTGGAAGGGAAGGATGGAAGGAGAAAGAGTGAGAAAGGGAGGAAAGAGGGAAGGAAGGAAGGATGAAAGGGCGAAAGGGAAGGATGGAAGGAGAAAGAGGGAGGGAAAGGAGGGAGGGAGGGAAGGAGGAAGGAAAGACAAAAGAGGGAAGTACAAAGGGGTGAAAGGGAAGGATGGAAGGAGAAAGAGGGAGGGAGGTAAGGAGGAAGGAAACAGCGAAAGAAGGAAAGATAAAAGGGAGGGAAGGAGGTAAGGATGAAAGAGTGGAAGGGAAGGATGGAAGAAAAGGAGGAAGGAAATAGAAGGAAGGAGAAAAGGGTGGAAGGAGAAAGAGGGAAGGGAGTGAGGAAAGAGAGACAGAAGGAAAAACAAAAGGGAAGGAAGGAAGGAAGGAAGGAAGGAAGAAGAAAGGGGAAAGAGGAAGGAAGGATAGGATGGTGAGAGAGGAGGGCCTGAGAAAGGAGCCCAAGGGTCTGCATCCTCAAGCCTAGGTTTCCCCCTACTTGCACTAGAGATACTGATTCAGAGATTAAAACTACAATCATCACTGTCCAGCACATGGAAGGTATGACCTGAAATCCAATACTTCAGAAGGAAGTGTGTTGCTAACTCAGGCTTTCATCCACATTATATGAGTCCCCACTGCCTGATTACCTAGAATTAACAGATAATCCGGGATCAGATGCTGGGAAATAGGGACAGTGTGGAAGGAGCCTGTCAAGGCTGCTGTAGGGTGCATATATAGTTATTGATGTCTGTGTATTGTGAGACTTTTGGTAGAAGACCTAGTGACCTAATGTTCTCTTCTTTTCCTTTGTAATGCAGCTTGGGTGATGTACACGGCCACAGGAACCTTCATCTTGGCCATTATCCTCATCACATACCATCTCCGCAAGAGGTACGTTTTGGGAGAAAACTGAAGAATAGGGGAGGCAGCTAGAGGAGTTTGTGTTCCATTCCCATTTCTGGCATAATGTCACAGATCCAATATATTCAGGAGAAAGGGACAAGAATTTCTGGATTCTGTTCATAGAATCATAGAATCAAAGAGTTGGAAGAGACCTCATGGACCATCCAGTCCAACCCCCTGCCAAGAAGCAGGAATATATATGAGAGCTGTAGTTTTACAAGGTCTTTAACCTTCTCTGTTAAAGAGTACTGGCACTGCAACAAACTACATCCCCATGGTTTGAAATCCACTGGGTAACCATGAGCAAATCACACTCTCAGCTCCTGAAAAACTTGATAGACCAGTGGTTCTCAACCTTCCTAATGTTGCGACCCCTTAATACAGTTCCTCATGTGGTGGTGATCCCCAACCATAACATTATTTTCATTGGTACTTCATAACTGTAATTTTGCTTCTGTTATGGATTGTAATGTAAATATCTGATATGCAGGATGTATTTTCATTCACTGGACCAAATTTGGCACAAATACCCGATATGCCCAAATTTGAATACTGATGAGGTTGAGAGGGGGAATTGATTTTGTCATTTGGGAGTTGTAGTTGCTGGGATTTAGAGTTCATCTACAATCAAGAAGCATTCAGAATTTCACCAACAATGGAACTGAACCAATCTTGGCACACATGACCATGACCAGCAGAAAATACTGAAAGGATTTTAGTGGGCATTGGGCAAGTTGTAGTTCACCTACATCCAGAGAGCACTGTTGACTCAAACAATGATGGATCTGGACCAAACTTGGCACAAACACAATATACCCAAAAGTGAACACTGGTGGAGTTTGGGGAAAATAGACCTTCACGTTTGGGAGTTGTAGTTGCTAGAATTTATAGTTCACCTGCAATCTTTGCAGGAGGAGGGCTTTTAGTGGGAGGATTCACCATCTGTTTCCAAAAAAGAAGAGAAGGACAGGGGAGAGATCTTCAGCCTTCTCCGCCAAAGGGGTTCCTAAAACCATCAGAAATATGTATTTCGTGATGGTATTTGGCGAATCGTCTGAAACCCCCCTCACAACCACCCCAGGAGCCCCGACTCCCAGGTTGAGAAACACTGTGATATCATAAGTTAGGAATAACTTGAAGGTACACAACAACCCAACACAACAACCCAACTGGCAACCTTTGGTAGATAGAGTTGCCATTCTATGTTTTTCCTCAAATACTGGATGTCTTGGACTAGCTGTTTTAACTGTTATTTTTTAATTAACATCATTTATGTTTCATTTTTTTCAATGTTTGTATATTTTTGGATTTTAAATTGTATTGAAGTATGTTCAGTGCAATCTGCGTTGAGTCTACTTTGTGGAGAGAGAAAGTGGAGCATAGATAATAATAATGATAATAATAATAATAATAATAATAATAATAACAGCTGTCAATACAGTTTCTTCTACCAATAAGGGAAATTCTGAAGGTACAAAATGCATTTGTCCAACATAACCATGCCTTTAAAAATTCCAAACCAAGATGGGCAATGATCAAGAAACACTTCTTCCACAAACAACATGTATTATGGGAATATGACTTATTTTAATGTAATTTAATTGTGAATGATAGAACTCAAAGTAGATGTTAAGATCTATGTTCTCAAGATGTTCCTACTGGGTATAAAATTACCACTCACTTGGTTGCCTTATTTGTTTTGCTCTCCTTTCCAGGACTTGCCTTTTTGTGCAGAAGAAGTCGGGCAATTCCCTGGTCCCGTTCTCCTCCAAAGGCCCACGGAGCCGCTGCCAGTGCCTTGGCGGGGAGGCGTGGGCTGTGGCCTACCGACATACCCGGGTGGTGATCTGCACCACACGTGGCGCCCCACACCATCGCCCTTTGCACAACAGCGGTGGGGGTGGCGGGGACGACGAAGCCTCCTCAGACTGCTCTTGCTTGTGCCACAGTTATGAGAACCTTTCTTCCACCAACCAGTCCTCTCTCAAATCTCTCATCTCCACCATATGAGGCGAGACACACCAGCTCTCAACTCCCATTGTCAATGTTGGGAATGTCAGCCCACTCTCCACTTGCCAACTTCCTAAGCTGGAACTTCATCAGTTCTCAAGGTGGACCAAGATTGGGACCTTAATAACTGCATCCATTCATGGGGAATTGCAGGGGAAGTTGGTCCATAATAGAGACCAGGGCCCATCACGGCACTGATAACAACATTCCAGAGGAATGGAAGGTCATTTGGCAACAATCATACATAGCAATAATCCCTTACAGACTTTATTGGCTGCTATGGACAATCTTCTGGGGATGCGGAGACTATGAAAGTGGTGGGAGATCCCATTGCCACATCCCTTGGAAGGAGACAGCTCAGTTGAAAGAAGGAAGCTCCCATCAAGGAGCTGGAATTTTGTAAAAGATTTCCTGGTTGATACAAAGCCCTGACATTGCTGGAGACATGCCCATGGAACCAAGTGAAAATGTAAGACTGTGTGACAGAAGAGGCACATACTCAGTAATGCATGATGTCAATACCTCACAAAATAGATTTTGTGAGATACAAAGGCCTGGCGATGGTGGGATTCCCAGATACAGGTAGTTGGGGGATGAAAGAGAGTGAATCCACATGGAGGTGGTTAATCTACAGATACTAAACAGCGGGCAGGGAGTGGCACTTGTACGAGCTGAACCCATCACCATAAACTTTTTAAGAACATTTGGAGACAAAGAGAGCCTGAAGACCACGGGACAATGGAAGGGTTGATGACTTGGTTCTTGGGGGCTCTATAAACACAACAAAGGAGGAGGAGGAGGGATAGTGAAAACCAGCCTCTGGTCTCCTGAGCCCAACAGGCACAAAAATCATTTTGGAACACGAAACCGTCATTAAATTATTTTCATATCAGTGAAGATGCTTCTCTGTTATTGTCTCAACTAGGTCATTCTAGGTTGGAGGTATTATTTATTTATTTACTTTGTTTATATCCTGCTCTTCTCACCCCACAGAGGACTCAGAGCCGTGTACATCATATATTTAGGTAAACATTCGATGCCTCAATTAGACAACTGTTAAAACATAGCATAAAATCATTAAAACACCAAACATAAATTACAATTTAAAACCAACAACATTAAGCATGATAAATCTAATACACAAATACCACATTGCACCAATCTTTAGTCATAGGTAAAGGAAAAGTTTTCCCCTGACATTAAGTCTAGTCGGGTCTGACTCTGGGGGGTGGTGCTCATCCCCATTTTTAAGCCAAAGAGCCAGCATTGTCCATAGACACCTCCAAGGTCATGTGGGCAGCATGACTGCATAGAGTACCATTAACTTCCCACATAAGTGGTATCTACTCACGTTTTCATGTTTTCAAACTGCTAGGTTGGCAGAAGCTGGGCCTAACAGCAGGAGCTTATCCTGCTCCCCGGATTCGAACCACCAACCTTTTGGTCAGCAAGTTCAGCAGTTCAGCAGTTTAACCCGCTGCACCACCAGGGGTCATAATTCAGTCATAATTCAGCTGCTTCATTTCTAACTATGTCATGACTGGATGTTAGATTGCAGTTCTGTCACTCTCTGAAAGCCTGTTTGAATCCCCAAGTCTTGTTTCCTAAATGCCAAGAGGGAGGAGGACCATTTGATCTCATTAGGAAGGGAGTTCCACAGCTGTGGGGTCACCGCCAAGAAGGTTCTGTCTCTCATCCCCACCAATCATGTTTGCAAGCTAGGTGGAACTGAGAGCAGGACCTCCATGACAGATCTTAGCACTCAAACTTGTTCATAAAGGGATATATGTTTAGATAGGTAAGCTGGACCAGAAATTTAACTTTTTCCTGCTTTCCTGGATCAAATATAAATTGAAAGTCATTCATTTCCATAGGATTGCCAAGGATGGATCTACACTGAACCGAAAATTCAGGTGTGATACCGGGATCAGCTCCAGTATAGGTCATCGGTGACAAAGGGACTCACATGTAAGCCGTCAGTGTAGATGTTCCCCTAGTCTTTAAGAAGGCATTGCATTTTGGGTGAATTCCGGCTACCTCTATCCAAAATAATTACAGGAAAGAACAAACCCAAATGATGAAAGAGTAGGGTCTACTCCCAAGCATTAACTTTTGTAGCTTGATGAAATGGCATGTGGGAGGGGCACAACAAAGGTATATACAAATTCTGCACCAAGTGGGAAAAGTAATGTTCTCATAATACTAAGGCCCCTTCTACACAGCTATATAAAATCACATTGAACTGGATTATATGGCAGTGTGGACTCAGATAATCCAGTTCAAAGCAGATATTGTGGATTATCCACCTTGATATTCTGAGTTATATAACTATGTGGAATGGACCTTAAGATTTGGGTTATGAAATGAAATGGAATGTGAGAAACTAGGGAAGTACTTTTTCACATATTGCATATTTAGGTCTAACTACTCACACCATGTTAGGCAATCATGTAGACTTTCGAAAAATTAAGTACAAAGGGCAAGAAGGGAGACTTCAGTCATTGTAAGTAGAACTGCTACATACAGCAAATGAGGTTTTAAGCCTTCCTGTCCTAGCAGTATTCTTAATTAATTCCTACTCGTTCCCTTTCACAAAGCAATTATTAGGACAAACCTCCCATTGGTACGTGTAGTAAGCCTCTTCCTAACAGGAAGCTGTTATCACATTGCTAAGGAGCATTTAACACCACCACTACCACCCATATCCATTCCACTAACATTTAATATGCAAGAGCCATGCTGTGATCGGTAATAACGACATTGATGCTGTGTGTAATTAAGACTCTTAAACTGATAGAAATGTCACTCAGCCATGTTCTAATTACTTGCAGAATGGACTTCCTTCTCCCCATGCAGTTGATGTCCAGTAAAGTAGGTTGAAGGGAGGGGGGAGAGTTATGATTTTGCGTCAAGAGTGTCAAAGCTGTGACTAAGTAGTCGCTGTGAATATGGAAGAGTTAGAGATGAGTATATATAGGAATGCTGCTCTGTATTCACAATTGCTACTTGGTCACAATTGTGACACGACTGGCACAATTGTAACTTCTTTTCCCAAGCTCTTTTTCCTGGCATCAACTGTATGTGGAAAAGGCGGTTGATTCTGTTTGCAATCAGAGTATGGGTAATGATATTTCCATCAGTTTTTGGGGAGATGAGACAGGAACAGTTACTTTAAGTATACTAAGTATAGTATAGTATAGTATAGTATAGTATAGTATAGTATAGTATAGTATAGTATAGTACTGTTTAGTATTACATAATGAAGTGCAGATAGTCCGTAGGTTACAGACAAGATCTGGTTCTGTAGGCTTGTTCTGAAGTTGAATTTGTATGTAAGTCAGAACAAGTACATTTTAAAGTGTACCTCCAGCCAACAAATATGCGTATTTTACTGGGTTATTGTAGGTTTTTTCGGGCTATATGGCCATGGTCTAGAGGCATTCTCTCCTGACGTTTCGCCTGCATCTATGGCAAGCATCCTCAGAGGTAGTGAGGTCTGTTGGAACTAGGAAAATGGGTTTATATATCTGTGGAATGACCAGGGTGGGACAAAGGACTCTTGTCTGCTGGAGCTAGGTGTGAATGTTTCAACTGACCACCTTGATTAGTATATAATGGCCTGACAGTGCCTGGAGCAAACTTTTGTTGAGAGGTTATTAGATGTCCTTCTTCCTAGTTCCAACAGACCTCACTACCTCTGAGGATGCTTGCCATAGATTCAGGCAAAACGTCAGGAGAGATTGCCTCTAGACCATGGCCATATAGCCCGAAAAAACCTACAACAACCCAGTGATTCCGGCCATGAAAGCCTTCGACAATACTATGCGTATTTTAGTTTTGGATTGCATAGAGAAGGGTTAACACCCCTGTAACATTTGTTTTGCTATCTGTGCCCCTGTTCAGAAGATGTCACTTCACTTTCTGTCCCTCTAACAATTGGATTTTGAAAAACTTGGCTTGTTGTGGAAATAAGGATTGGTGATAAACCTTAAGCGGAGACACCTTTTCCCCTGATAACTTTTTCAGAAGTGAATTTCCCTTCCTAGACGTAGATTTCTCTCACTTCCTGTTGTCTCACCCCTGTTTGTAACTAGGAGTTAGATGTAGGATGTCTGGAAGTCGAGGACTGCCTGTATACTTAACTAATGACATCTGACGAAGTAGATTTAGTCTACAAAAGCTCTTGGACCAACTCTCAGTTCCTTAGAGTTGATACAAGATACCTTTGTATACTTAACTAAGTACCTAATACAACAGTAGCACATTACTATCATATTATTGTTATAGTAGAAACTAAGGCCCCTTCCACACAGTTGTATAAAAACCACATTGAACTGGATTACATGGCAGTGTGGACTCAGACAACCCGTTTCAAAGTGAATCATGTGCCTTGATATTCTGGGATATATGGCTCTGTGGAAGGGCCCTTAGTTTCATAAAAGTAGTTGACAACAATAATGTAAAGAGGAGGCGACTCAATTTACAGCAGTGGTTCCCAACCGGGGCCACTAGACCTAAAATAAGGTCTGTGGCTCAACATTATTAAATATGGTTTTCTGTGGGCGAGCAAATGGCAACTACTGGATGGCATATGTTTTGTATCAGAAACTAGAGCTGATGTGGTCTATCCAATGCAATTTTCAGCACCCCAAATAACCAAACCGAATCTAAAGATGATCAAAAACTGATTTGTAACCCTTTTGGTACTATTATTTATTTATTTATTTATTTACTATTCTTGTATACCGCTGTATCTCAAGCCCGAGGGCGACTCACAGCGGTTTCCAAACAGCAAAGACAATAAAAACAGCAATAATTAATATACAATAACAGTTAAATTACACATTTCCCTTAATAACTAATAAGCAATCATCAATACACAGGTATCACAAATCCCATCCCCGATCGCCTCATCATCCAAGCGTGATCCAAATTCGTCGTCCATTGTTCCGTTCCTATGTTCAAATTACCAAAATTGCACTGAATTACTCAAACGCCTGCACAAACATCCAGGTCTTCAGCTTTCTACGGAATGTCATGAGAGATGGTGCCAGCCTAACGTCTACAGGAAGGGCGTTCCACAGCCGAGGAGCCACCACCGAGAAGGCCCTATCTCTCGTCCCCGCCAACCGTGCTTGAGAGGCTGGCGGGATCGAGAGCAGGGCCTCCCCGGAAGATCTCAAAGTCCTGGTGGGTTCATAGGCCAAGATGCGGTCAGATAGGTATCTTGGGCCGGAACCGTTTAGGGCTTTATAGGCCAGCGCCAGCACCTTGAATTGAGCCCGGTAGCAAATCGGCAGCCAGTGGAGCTGGCGCAACAGGGGGGTTGTATGCTCCCTGCGTCCCGCTCCTGTTAGTATCATGGCTGCCGCACGTTGGACTAGTTGGAGCTTCCGGGCCGTCTTCAAAGGCAACCCCACGTAGAGAGCGTTGCAGTAGTCTAAGCGGGATGTAACCAGAACGTGGACTACTGTGGCCAATTCAGACTTCCCAAGGTACGGGCGCAGCTGGCACACAAGTTTTGACTGTGCAAATGTTCTCCTGGTCACCACTGAAACCTGGTGTTCCAAGCTCAGCTATGAGTCCAGGATTACACCCAAGCTGTGAACCAGCCCATCCAACACAGGCTGTAACCCTATGCCCTACACAGGCTGTAACCCTATACCCTGTTCGGCCTTGCGACTGACCAGGAGTACCTCTGTCTTGTCTGGATTGAACTTCAATTTGTTCGCCCTCATCCAGACCGTTACAGCAGCCAGGCACCGGTTCAGGACCTCTACAGCCTCCTTAGTAGCAGGTGGAAAGGAGTGACAGAGTTGGACATCATCTGCGTACAGGTGACACCGTACCCCGAAACTCCAGATGATCTCACCCAGCGGCTTCATGTAGATGTTAAA